GTCTTAAAAATGAATAAAAACATTTAAAAATTTTAAATGATAATACATATTCATGGTGGACATACAGAAAATTTTTTTAAAGATGGAAGTAATATAACCTCAAATCTCATTTCTTTTTCAGTATTTTCTTTTACAAAGATAAACTTCTCTCTCTCTCTCTCTCTCTCAGTAAAACTGGAGTAAAGCTATGTATAGCTTTGTGTCATTCTCTTTTTTCTTTACAGAGTGACATTATAGCTTAGTTAAGAGCACAGGCTCTCAAGGCAAACTTCCTCAGTTTCTTCATCTGTAAAAGAGCTAATGACCCTACAATAAATATTAGCTTTTATTATATTGTAATAAAGGCATGTTGCTTGGTGATTAAATTCCCCTTGAAACTATGCTTTTTAATGGCTCCTGTCACTCCATGCTCTAGGTATACATGACTCATGTGAACAGTCCCCCAGGGCTGGACACTTAGATTTCTTGTACTTGATTTTTTTTAATTCCTCAAGACACAGACAAGGGATGGTTTTTGGTATGAACCCAATTACAAGGCATCTTAAAGGAGACAACACTACTGAGGAAGAAGGGCGGGACTAACATTTATTGAGCCTATTGTAACCCAGGCACTTAATCTGTGCTGTCTTGTAGCAACCCACGGGAGAAGTAGGAATTTTGAGCCTCATTTTTTGGATTGGAATGGTTAGGCTCAGAGAGATGGATTTACTCCCCTAAGGTCACACAGCAAGTGAGCAGCAGGGCCAGAATTTAACCTCATGTCCTTTGATTCCAAATCCAGTTTTCTATTAAGGTAATATGGGGTTTGGGCACTGAGGGGAGTGGGGGAAATCAAGGAATGTTCCCCAGACAAGGTGACTTTGAGCTGGGCCGTGAAGTGTGGGCAGAGCAGTGGGTAGACATGTGAGGAGGAGAAAACCAGGGTGAGCTGGTTCATGGGTGGCCCTAGCACCACCATGCTGAGGATTTCAGACTCAGAGCCTCTGGTTTCCCATCGACAAATTGGGGATAATTATGTCACATCATAGGACTGTTGTTAGAAGTTTGCACAAGAAAGCCAAAGCTGCTTTAATATGAAAATATTCACTGAGAACCCTCCATTACGGATAAATGTGGACCCTGCCAGGCATCCCTCCTGGCTGAACACCAGCATGCTGTCCCCAGATCCTGTCCCCACACCCCAACACACCTGTCCCAGACTGTGTGAGAGTTAGATGCAAACCCCTGACTCAAAGGCAAAGCCAACTGATCGCAAACTGCAACTGCCAATAGTCACCAGGCCTGGATCTCACAAAGTCAATGACAGCAGTTTGGGAGAACCACTATACTCCCAAGCAAAGCCAACGGATAGGACAAGGTGTGCTTCAAACAGGAGCAGCTTCCAAACAGGCTTGTGAGAAATTAGAGGAAGCCCTGGATTATGTTCAGGGCTCACCGAGAATGTATCACCCCCAAATCAAAAGAGGATACATTCTTTGATCAGCCTGAGGATGGGCGGGTGATTGCCAGTGTAGTTCGTAAATACTGATAAATACGTAAATTGCTAAAAAGAAGATGAAGCTGACCTACTTTCATAGCTTTTAGTTTCATGTTGTAAGGTGAAGTCCTGATCTAGCCTTGTGCAGAATGCACTGTGGCCACAGCTCTAAGTAGACTATGTTCAGGAGCTGCAAGACCCTGGGACTCCGTCTGTGGTAGCGGAGGAAGGCGTGTGGGGTAGTGGGGAGATGACCAATGACTGATGGGAGTGATATACCCCAGCTCCAGCCTCTCAGGGAGGTTGTTAGGCGTGTTCTTCTCAGTCTCCAAGAGCGCCCCAATGGGAGTGAGCCCCAGGAGCCCACAACAGGACCTGCTCATTAACACACCTTCCATCTGGCCTCACTGCTTCCCTCCCCAACCAGCACCCTCTAGGACCTAGGACACCCCCATTTGAGCCACTTACCCTAAAATCCTCATCTCTGGGGTCTGTATCTGGGGGGATTAGTCTAAGATAGTAGCCTTCTCCTAGTATACTCTTAGCACACCCTGGATAATGAGGACCCCTGAAAAACCCAGAGATGAGGCAAGCCTGACAAAGAGGAAAGGGAGTTTTGACTCTGGGTAGTGGGTGGCCCCTGGAAGGGAAACAGAAGCAGAGGCACTTGGGAGCAGGAGAGTTTGAGTTCTGTCAAGGACAAGTTGAGTGGGAGGAGCCTGTGGGACTTCCTGGAGGAGGTGTCCAGGAGGAAATGGAATATAAGGGTCTAAGCCCTGAGAGTAGGGGAGGGAGAGAGTCTGACAAAAAATGTAAGAGATGTGAGAGCAAAACAGGGGAGGAGGAGGAGTCTCTGAATCTCCAGGCCGGGGAGGAAGCAATTACAAACTGCATGTGTTCCCCCTACACACACACACACACACACACACACACACACACACACACACACACACGCATACGCACACAGTTACACATGCACATGCACACAGTAAACATTCCAAGATGTGGTTCTAGAATTTAGAGATTCACAGAATCCATCAATAGTTGTTCAGTCGTCCTACGTTGACTGCCCAGGGGTCTACTGTGATCCAGAGTGGGGCTTAAAGGGTCTTGGGGGCCCCAGAACTTCTCCGAGTTCCCTTCCCCTCTCCCTGGGCTCCCAAGTCTTACCAATTAAAGTGCCCAGGTGGACATTGAGGCCTTGAACCAGGTTGGAGATGCCCAGGCACAGCTGCAGCAAGACAGAGGAGGTTGGGTTAGGGTGGCACTCAGGGCTAGAGGGGGCAAGGCTGGGAGGGTCCAGGGTCCCTGTCTGAAAGCCTCCCCCAAACTGGACATCAAGGCCTGTTATCTCTTCCTTCCTCCACCACCCAGAGGGCAACTTCGGGCACCTCCTCTGAGCGCTAGGAAGTCAGAGGGGAGGCTGGGGCCCGTGGGCATCGAGGAAAGAACAGGGGCTATGGGACACTGCAGAGGTGGCCACAGCTGGGCCTGGACAACCGAGGCAGGGAGCCTGCTGCATCAGGGCCCAGAGGGCCAGCTGGTGGGAGGGCCAGCTGGTGGGAGAGGCAGAGAGCGGTCAGCACGCCAGGCCAGGGAGGCTGGAGTTCTTCCAGGCACAGTGGCAGCCAGAGAGGCCTATTAAGCCGGGAGTCACTGTGACAGGAAGTGGGGCCGGGGAGAGAACGCAAAGCTGAGGAGGTCACTGCCTAGTCCAGACAAGAGCTGGTGAGGGTGGGCCAGGTGAGACCAGGAGGCAGAGGAGAGGACCAGGTCAGGCTGTACCGCCTTTAGCCCTCAGGCCTCAGTTTTCTCATCTGCAAGATGGGGGTGCTGAGGCCTGCCTTCAGGTGGGTGTGGCATAGCATGCTGTGGTTCATTTGATCTCCACTACTGTCCCTTAAAGGAGGTGGGGGTGAGGTGGGAAGGGGCAAAGTTGGAGAACCGGCTCCCCGTCAGTAATAGATCCCTGACCCCTGGGGCACCATTTCTCACCAAGTCAGCCACAGGCAGCTAATAACAACAGCTAAAATAGCAACAGTAACAGCAGCTCTCTCTCTGCCCGAACTGTCCTAAACCCTTCATGGCTGTTAATTCGGTCAACCCCCAAGCCAGCCCACCAGGACATTTACTCTCTGCATTGCAGGTGTGGAATCAGGAGCAGAGGGAGCTTAGGCGACCTGCCCAAGGTTCACAGCTGGGAAGGGAAGGAATCGGGGTTCAAACCCAGGCCACATCGGGTTCCAGGGTCCACTCTCATTTTGTGTCTCTTATTCACAAGCCACACAGGCCCCCATCTCACCTTCTAGCATGGAATTGGGGCTGGCCCAAGGGGGTGAGCCTCCCTCCCCTGCCACCCCCCAAACCCACCCTTGTTTGGGCCTCCCTGTCACTGCCCTGGGCCATCACCCCAACTTGTTCCCTCCCCTCATGGGAAAATTGGAGGAGCTTCATGAAGGGCCTTCTATGAATGAATGAATGAATGAATGAAAGCGGTAACCATTCCAACCTGCAAACCCCCATTCATTCACCACACCTGCTGAGGCAAGCGATGCCCTCCTTTCGGAGAGATCTGGCCGGGGAGCCTTTACCTTGTTACGCAGGACAGCTTTGATGTGCTGCTGCACCCGGACCAGCAGCGCTGGAGTCAGGCTAAGAAAGAGACACCGAAAGGGCTCCTGAGCTCTGGGTCAATGCTTTCTGTCCTGCCTCTCCTGGCAAAGCCACCAGTGTGATTCATACCCAACTCTTCTCTGGGGAAAAGTCCAGTGCAAAATGCTCAGTGGCCTCACAGTGAGCCCCCACCCACGTGTGGGGAAGTATAGACAAAATGGAGGGGATTCGCAAGCAGCGGGTTAGTCAGGATTTGAACCTGGCTCCAGCATTGGCCAGCTATGTGGCCTTAGGCAAGTCACTTAACTGCTCTGTGCCTCCATTTGTTCTCCTGCAAAATGGGGGAAATACTTCCACCCTCCTGGGAGGATTATTGTGAGACAATGCTCAGAAAGGGCCTGGAACATGACCAGCACACAGTAGGCACCCTGAAAGCGGGGGCTGCTGCGAGCTTTAGATAAGGACATGAGAGGCCACCTCAAACAGTGAGAGCTTGGCGGGTCCCAGCTCCCTGGGCCTCAGACTCCCCATCTCTGCAGAGAGAGGCAGCCCTCTGAGGTCCCCAATAGAGGCATGAGCTCAGAACCCCTTCCTAAACAGTATGTTAAAGGCTAGTGTATATTGTCACATGGTGAGGAGTGGGGCAGTGGAGAGGACACAGGCTCTGGTTACACACTTACTGTGTGACCTCAGGCAAGTCTCTACCCCTCTCTGAGCCTCAGTATGCTCAGCTATAAAACAGGTGTGATATTGGGGGTCTCAGACCTATTGTGGCAATTGGATGAAGGCTTGAGTAGGAAGGTGAAGAAATGGCACCACAGCCCAGCACCCACCTGTGACTGCCGTTCAACACGATGGCATTGTTGAAGAGCGAGAGGCAGGTGGAGATGCTGACCACGGGGGTCCCGATGGAGCCCTGGGCCACGCGGGCATCCGCCAGCAGTACCGCAGGCAGGACCAGCTCCAGGGGCTCCGGGACTCTGCAGGAATGTCAGTCCTGAGCCCCCGCCGCTCCGCCCAGCAGAGCCCACCTTGACTGATTTGAGACCCTGTGAAGCCCCAGCCCAAGCTTGCCCTCCACTTGACACAGGCAGGACCCCCAATCAGCATGAGATGGCCCCACCTGAGTCCCCCAGACCCCACTCTGGGTCACGTTACAGCACATGGGTATGAACTCCGGCTCCCCATAGCCTCTCACTGTGAGACCCTGGGCCAGTCACTCTCCAGGCTGAGTCTAAGATTCTTCTTCTGTATAATGGACATAAGGTGGGTGGTACCAATCTCATAGGGCTGCGCTGAGTTTTCTATGAGGTAGTCATGTGAAAACACCCTGCTTGGAGCCTGTCCCATAGTAAGCACTTATAAAATAGTAGTGTCAGGACAGAGGAGTTGGAATAAGAGATCCCTCTGAAGTCCTAGCTCATAGTTTGAAAATTAAATGCATGTAAAGTGACTGATGCACAGAAATAATTCTAATAGCTATGTTATTGAGCACCTACTGTGGGCCTTGTACTGTGAAAGGGGGGACGTATTTTAATTACAGCCATGAATCCATTCGCTGCAACCCTCATGGCCCTGCTGCAAGGTTTCATCCAACTGAAGGTGTTAGAGAAGTGAAATGGCTCTGATTATCCCTGAAAATCCTTTTGCCCCTCCCCCAACAAAGAGATTCACTCACCGAAAGACCTTAATAGTAAAATTGGCTGCTGCCAACAAACGTACTCCAAGACCTTCAATGAAGTTCAGGTGGAGGTGGGTCACCTGGATATTCAGAATCCGAACTCTGCAGGGTAGGAATGGAGATGACAGGGCAGTCCCCATTAAACCATGGAATCAAATCTGGGGTGGGTGCCCTGAGCCGTACATATCTACACTGTTGATGTTATAAAGGACTTTCTGACTATTGGAACCATGGGATGCGAAATAAGTAGTGAGTTCTCCATCATAGGGGGCATGCAAGCCATGTACGGACAACTAGCTTGTAGGGAAAGTATACAGACAGGACCCCAACACTGGATGGGAATTGCTGAGATGACTTCTCAGTATTGGAGAGATTTCAGTATCTGACTGAAGTCTGGAAAGCTGGGAAGGTGGGGAAAGAAAGCCTTCAGGACTCACAGAAAGCAGAAATCCCCTCCACAGCATTCTAGTCAACAGCTTTGTCTTGTAGCCCTTCAGCAACGGGGAACTCACTCCCTTCAAAGATGCCTGTTCTAATTGCTAAGCACTTTCCAACTAATTTTTTATTTCTTTTTGTTTCTAAATGAAAGTCATTTTTTTTTCCTGCACGGTAGTGGGTGGGGATTCAGATACTACAAATGGTATAAATTTTAAAAGTCACATCAAAACTCAAACCTCAAACATTCTGGCTGTTAGCACTTGAGTGACATCCTTCCGTAACACTCCTTAGGGCACACGCTGACCTAGAACCTGTTTTCTTTTCACATGACAACCATCCTGGGTGTGTTTCCACGTCAACAAACAAGGACCCTCGGTGCTATAGCCAAATAGTCATCTGCTGTCCTTTGTGTGACAAGACTACAAATCATTTAGGAACCTCAGTTGTTAGGTGTTGATGTCACTCCCAGTTCTCCACCATCATCAGCCATGCCATGAGCAGCATTGCAGCCCTACCCTAGGGGCCTCAAACTGGGGGGACCTCCTAGCCAGCGGCTTTCTTACCCACCTGTTGTAAATGGTTTTCAAATTAGTTGCCATCATTCAAAATTTGATTTTTTTATGTATACTTCTCTTGGGATTCCAGAGATCTGGCAATAGTGAGTCTGTGTCCCCACATGAATGGGGACAACTGGCCCAATCCCTGAAAGGGTCGGAGTTTGAGACACCCCCACCTACCTCTGTCTTTGAGTCTGTATGCATTACAGGGTGGTGTGGGGGTAAATTAGGCTCAGATTTTTTGTGTGTGTCTAAATTCGGTGTCTAGCTTTTGGAGGCAGTAGCCAAGGGTCCTGCCGGCCATGAGGACACAGAGTCTTGTCCCCTGGAGGCAGAAATCTACTAATTCAAAGGCACCACGACCCCCGTGTCTCCACCTTGATCCCATCTCCTAATGGGTGACCACTCACCTAATGGGTGACAGCATCTAACCTGGTGAGGGAAGCACTCATCTAGCTGGTGGGGAAACACCTATCAACGAAGGTACTCACTTAGTGGGCTGAGCATTTTCCCCAGAGGGTGGGAGGACTCACCTGGCAGGTGGGAACACTCACCTGATGAGAGGAACACCTTATCTGGAGGGCAGGAGCACTCACCTGGTTGGCTGAAGCACCCCTCCACTCCAGTCCATGAAATATGGGACAGTGACCTGCAAGGCCTGCTGGAGAGGGGCTCTCCCAAGTTCAGACACTGTGGCCAGAGGAGGGTGAGGTCAGACTGCCCTCAGGAGTCACCAAGGGAAGCCACACCACCCACCATCTGCCCCGCATCCTGAGCAGGGAGGACTCACAGACTGGAAGGGGTGGGCTTGTCCATGGGCACACAGGGGCCAGTTGGCTGCCCACCAGCCCTCCCTGGGTGCACTCCTCACACCAGGCCTGCAAGCCACGCCTTCCCTCTCTTGCTCTGCCCCCCCCCAAATCCTAATATCTACCCCACTCCTCAGAAACAATAACATCCTTTGCCCTTTGGCAAGACTCTGATGGGATCCCACCCCTTCTGAAGTCTCCCCAGGTCCCTAAATAGGGGTTCCCCGATGAAACAAGGGTGGTAGGCCTGGGGGTTGGAGGCTGAGGACTCTGGAGTCCCTCAGATTCTGGGTGCAAACCCCAGCTCTGCTACTCACTCCCTGTGTAGCTGCTCTGTGCCTCAGTTTTCACACCTATAAATTTGCAGTGATTATAATGGTACCCATCATATAAGGTCCTTGCAATGGCTCCGTGCACAATCAATGTTAGTTCCCCCTGTTGCTCTTTATTTTTGTGATAATAATGGCTATCGCTTCTACAGAGCTTCCTTTGTGCCAGGCCCTATTCGGGTGCTTTGGTTTTCCTCACAATTCTGTCTGTGACACAGGTACTGGATTGTGCCCAGTTTACCAAGAGGTGAGGACACCTGGCGAGGGGAAGTCAGATCTGGGCTGAGGCACCTGGCACCCCAGCCCCTGGACTTCCTCATGAACCTGTGCTGCTGGGCTGAGGGAGATGTTGATTAAAATGAGAGGTGGTGCTGCTGCAAGAGAGTATCAGGTGAGTCAAGAGGCCTGAACTCCGCTCAGACTCACCGTGTAACCTGGGGAAGTCCCTCTGCCTCTCTAGTCCTCAGTTTCCCCAGACCCCAGCATAAAGGCAGTGGTCTTTATGCTCCCAACGGCCCTCTCCAGCCTGACCACCTGTGGCTGAGCCAAGATTCACACCCAGGCCTCTGGACTCCGTCTACAGTGCTCCCCAACACAGGGCTTGAACTCTGAGACTTGCAGACAGGGATTCAAAAGACACCATTAAGAAGCCACCCAGCCTGGCCTTGGAAAGAGATGTGTGTGGCATGGGCCTCCTGCCGGGTTTCCGCCAAGAACAAACACAGCAGGTGCACCTGGAGGGTGCATCTCAGGGGACAAAGGAAGCTCACATGGGACAGGCAGAGAGAGGGTGGCCAGTGGAGGGCAGTGGCCTCATGTCTCTGTCTGTAGGCATCCGTGCATGGCACCATGGGCTAGTCACGCTCTAACACGGATCACTGACCCCTTTCACTGCCTGCCCGTCTTCCCGGATACAAGGTCCCAGAAGGCTATGTGTACACCAGGGGCCCCTGCTGCTTCTCTGTCTCACTGCTTCGTGGCCTGGGCCAATGACAGTTCCTGTACTGTCTGATATGAGTCCCTTACACTGTAATCTGAGTTTGGTCTGATCTCAGAGCAAACAGCTTCTGATTTCTCGCCCCTGACCTAGCTTCAGTAGGACTCCAAAACCCTCCACAGGGGAAGCTGGAAAGTGGGGGAAGTTTCAGATTTTGCCCCTCCCTGGGCCAAAGTTTTCTCACTGTGCCTTCCCCACGGGGGAGCAGACTCATAGGACAAAGGCCTTGCCCAAGATGGGCCTGGTCAGGGGCTGGTTCTCGTCACTGTGAGCACAGCAGGGACCTAACTCCATGCTCCCCCAGACCGTGTTATACATGCCTTCCCCAGCACACA